TTATTCTTGCAGCGTATTTTTTTCTGTTAATTCATTCCCTAAATTCTTTATGTGCTCAGCTATCTATGTGTTAGTTGGATAGAGTATCCATTTCTTTTTTTTGCATTTGATACAGTTAGCTGTGCAAAACTCAGTGGTTTAAACTCTCAGAAACTTGAGCACATTGGAAAACACTGATCCAGACAATGGAGGCTGTGAAGTGCCCGAGGCTTACATCCGTGCTGTGCCCTGCACAGGTAATAAAAACAGGCTGAAGTGGAACTTGAGTTCTCAGTAGTGCTCATCTCAGCTGTTAAAAACCCATGAGCCCTTCAGGTCAAACTACTTTGGAGATGCTCAGGGTTATTTCTGTTTTCTGTGTTTGCCCAGTGAGTGTTGTGAGGCCAGGGGTCATGGTTCTCTACAGTCCCCATGGACAAGCATCTTATCACGTGGCTCACATTTCTCCACTATCACCAAAGGCAGGTAGCACAATGTAGGTAGAAGTTGGCCACAACATATGTGCTCAGTACGGGCATCACCTGAGTTTCAGAAAAGGAGTCTGTGACAAGCGTGGATCCAAGTTAAAATAAGACTTCCAGTGGTCTGTCCCACCACTCTCATGGATGCAGTCAGACCATAGTGCTGGGATACAGAATACGACATGAGCCAGGTCCTGTGCAACTTCAGACATCAGCCAACAACATCTTCAAACAACAGGAGCTAATGTTGATCAGGGGATTACAGAGAAAAACTTGGCTCTTCAGTTTTAATCTTGTGGTACATGTGCACCCATGCCCTAAGAGTAGAAGACAATTTTAAGACTGGGGTTATGACTCTTCTGAGATGTGTGTAAGATTAAGGCGCACGTAGCAAGAGTGTGTGGTGTTGGTTTTGTTTTCTTTTTTCTTTTAAAAGGAAACACAATAGATGACAATAAACACCCAAGTTACAGAGAAGGGGCAACACAAAATCTCATACCTAAAGCCATGCAGCCCTTCAAGGTAACTTACCCTGTCCAAAATGGTCTGTAGCTGGAAGGGTTGTGCTCACTGCATGCTCCAAAGCTCCACATCACCTCCTCTATTTTTAGGGGAAACACACTCACAGGGGGCTGGATCTAGAGTCTTATGGAGCAGGCATGGCCCCGGTTTCTGGAGTGGTATTCTTAGCTGAGACTGGGCTTGAAAGGGACAGTGGAAAGGGAGGGACAGTGCTCAGGCAAAAAGGCGTCATTGTGACTGCTAGCATCCGGTCTGAAAGAACCCAGTTGCTTAAGACCCAATTTCTCACTCATGAGCTCCAGCTCTTCAGCAGCACAGAGCTGCTTTTAAGCAATAAGTGGTTTGTGTCTAGCTGCAGTGTATTTATGACAAAGAAATCCTGATTCTACCTGAGGAAAAAAAGCTACTTTAGAGCAACTACCTCTTTCATTTTGTCTTGCTTAATGAGCACCAGCTATAGACATCCTTCTCATAGCCACATTTGCAGGAGCATGAGGATCTCCATGTTTCCACAGGATGCTCAGCTTTTAACCCTTCCCTCCATGAGATGCAAATGTGACTTGTTAGGAAAAAAAGGGTCTTTTTAAGATATGACTCTCCATAGCGATCCACGTCATTGGTCTTCTGAATCTGAAAATGTAATTCCCACATTTGCTCATGGTAAATATTCCATCCAAATGGGCTTCAGGAGAAAACTGGATTTTTTAATTGAGTGCTTTCTTAACAGAGATCCCTTGTGCTAGGTTATGAGTGAAAATTTTCCTCCTCAGCAGCAGTAGCCAAGTCCATTGCCTTTATCTCACAAAACAGCTGAAACTTTGTACAAAACCCAACTTTACTTTCTGCCTGACTCTTATTGTGAATTTGAGCTCCAAGGACCAACCTGACCATCCAGCTCTAACATTAACAGTAATAAAGAGGATATGTAATTCATAGAATCACAGAATGGTTTGTGTTTGAAGAGACCTTAAAGCTCATCTAGTTCCAACCCCCTGCTACAGGCAGGGACACCTTCCACTAGAGCAGGTTGCTCCAAGCCCCATTCACCCAAGAATAGTTTTCTATGGCACTTTTCACCTCTTCCTCAACAAAAGTTGGAGATAAGCTCAGGCAGAAAGCACTTCTGCCTGGTATCTGCAGCCACTGTAATACCAGGCAGGTGCTTTACAAGTGGCATCTGTCTCTGGCACCACAAGGCTGGGTAGAATTAGTCAGGATTTTGTAGGTTTTTTCCTTTATCTGTGACATGTCAGCTTCCTACATTACATGGCTGATCTGAGCAAAACAAAGGTCTGCCTGCATTGGAAGGGAGCACGATGGAGACATTCATTTCCCCAGAATAGGTAGTGTAACAAATCAATCCTGACTGCACTGATAAATTGAACTTCAAGCTTGGTGATACTGCTTTTCAGGTCTAATCCAGTGTAAGACACAGCAGGAAGGAAAGGCAAAGGCACCCGTTAGCATTTCATTCTGCAAGGAGCTACTCCCCAAGCAGGGGAGAAAAAAAAGATCATCTTTTTGTCCCCTTCTTTTTCAGCACAGCATTGCAGATGTTTTTGAGGAAGGTGACACAGGGTGCAGGGGTATGTGCAAGGGCTTGTGTGCAGATAGTGAGGTGCACGAGAACTACTCAGTGGTTGATGGCCTTTTGCGAAGCCCCAAATCTTGGGATGGGATCATAACTGAAGCTTCAGTAAGAAAGAAACATTGCTTATGGGAAAAATCTGGCTTTCAGCAGGATGGGGATTATAGAGCAGCATTGCTCTGGTACACAAAGGAAAGAGGAGCTGCTGGACCGGGCTTCAGGAGACTGAGGTCCAGGTCAAGTCTTGACTACAGAGCCCCAGGCTGAACACAGACAGGTCGCTGCCCCCAGGCACTGCAGAATCACAGAACAGTTTGAACTGGAAAAGACCTTAAACCTCATCCAGTTCCAACCCCCTGCCATGGGCAGGGACACCTTCTACTAGAGCAGGTTGCTCCAAGCCCCTGTGTCCAACCTGGCTTTGAAAACTGCCAGGGATGGGGCAGCCACAGTTTCTCTGGGCAACCTGTGCCAGAGCCTCAGCACCCTCACAGGGAAGAATTTCTTCCTAATGTCTAATCTAAATCTCCCCTCTGAGAGTTTACAGCCATTTCCCCTTGTCCTATCCCTACATGCCCTTGTAAAAAGGCCTTCAACCTGCTGGTCACTGCAAGAAATACTTCTTTTTCCAAGGAGATGGAAAGCGGCAAGTCCTGCTTGCAGGTCACATAGCAGCCAACACCTTGGCCACCTGATCTTCCTCCTCTCGACACTGTGGCACTGTAATAATAACAAAGGGGATTTTCACCCTTAATTTTTCTGAATCTAGATGTAAAAATCATACCTGTGGGAAACTCCAGCTTTCCACTCTTCCACATTGGAGCACAGGGTTGTGTTCAGCCAGAGTCCAGCAGGACTAACACTGGGAGAAAAGTGTCCATAGGCCTCTGTGTTGGGACAGAAAGCTTGAAACATTGGCCTGAAATGCTCACAAAGGAAATAGAAACACTTAAGGTCTCCAAATTTTGAAACTCCATTGATTCAAACTGAGCCTCCTGGTGGGTTGCAGGACTAGAAAGGAGGTGAGCAAGGACTCTTTGGTGGACACTTGGATTTGGCAGTGGTTTTAGCTCCATGTTCCCATCTCTTGATTCCCATCACTGCCCTGTGCAGAGGTCTGTGCCACTGCGACACCTTGCACCCACTCTGCTCAGTGGCCAGCCTCTGGATGCTGCCTGCCCTGGGAAATGGGCTTTTCCTTCCAAAAGCTTCAAAGTCCTCATTTTTATGGCTCCAGTGCAATGAAAACTTGCCCTTTAGAGGTCCTTTTTCTGGGTCATGGAGGTAGGATCACACGTACTGCTTAATAATTAAAAACAAAGCAACATTATTCATTCTACATGGAAAATCTCATGATATGGTCGAAGTCCACTGGCACAGCTTGGCCAGCCCTGATGCTGGTTTGTGCAGTAGCCACTTATACAAATGTAACACCTCCCTGCAAAGAACTGGAATGTGCTCTTAGGGAAGGCAGGAGTCTTGCTGGCCCCACTGTAAAATTGGTGAAGAGATATAACTTCAGACAGAGAACTACACTTCAGTGTACCTTCAAATTGGCTGTCCAGAAAGAAATATACAGATAGGCAGAAATGCTCATCTGAAACCTGGACCAGGTTGGTATCTCTCCAAAGGTGGTTATCCCTACCTGCCCAAAGGCAAGAACCCCATCATCTTGATTTGGGTGACTTGTCTTGGGGTAATTTGTCCCCAGGGGACAGCTCTTCCTTTTTTACCTGAAGCCAGATGTCAGGTCTCTGACACAGCTCTTACCTGAGGCCATGAGCACTCCAGCCATGCTTGTCATTCCTGTAAGTCTTAGACCCTTTTTGAATCCTGTGAAGCTTGAGAGTAGAGCCTGTCCTATTGCCATCCGGACAGAAATCCTGATCACGCAGGATGCACGCAGTGAGTCTGACAGGTACCTGCTATACCCTGACTGCAAACTAAACGTGTGCACCAACTCTATCCAGGAAAAATGAAATCATTCCGGTTGTGTGTGTGTGTGTGTCTGTGTATCTTGTGGTAATAAGCTCTAGCTGAACATTTTGTTTGCAAAGGTTTGATTAGTTCCTTTCAATTTCACCTCAGTCCTACTGTTACAGTATACCTCATCATCCAGCTCCCCTTCTCATTCGAGCCATTATTTGATGTTCCTGTTATTTGCACCTGCCTTTTCCAAAAATGACCTTTATTAGGAACACTAGTCTCAAGCTGCAGCCCCACTTCTCTTTCATTTCTCCTAGAGCAATACCACCCACTGCAAAGCTCAGCATCTCTACAAACACTGTGGATACAAACAAATGCATCCTTCAGCAGCCTTTTAGACCATATTTTCCACAATGAACGTTGTAAATGAAGAGTAATACATCTTCAGAATTGCCCAGAAAACGTTATTCTGATAGCAATATAAAAGCCTCACAGTGTCCGAGTAGGTGCCCTTGCCAAAAACATTGTATTGTGAGCCAGATAATTCAGTTTGAATTGTACACAGTTTGGTCTCATCATTCCAGTAAAGCATTCTTTACAATTCTGTAACAGCAAGTCACATGGCTCAATAAAGTTTATTGCTGCAAATGCTTAGTGATTCATGGCATGGATGAATTCTGTTTCTTTCCTGGATCAAGTAATCAATAGCAAAATAATCTGCCTGCAATTACATTGCTCTGCATTAAAGAGGTGTGAAATAAATAACTACAAAATCTGATTTGAAAAAAAAATATGTACAACATTATTAATGAGCTGCAATTTGAAACTGGGTGTCCTGCACCACAGTTTTGCTCACAGCCTGTGGCAGAGCTACTCCTAGCCTTACATGATTCTTGCTCAGCTGATTACACACATTGTGCAACAAACCCAGTTGGGACTGATAGGTTTTCATCCCTTCACATCCAACAGAGTCCTGCTGTGAACACTCTGCACTCACACAAAACCCCCTGGCCATCCCCCTGGGTGCCAGGGACCATCTTTTGTGGAGCATGCTGAAACGCAAGACCTACGCTCCCTCATCAACCTTTCTGGTTCCTCCAGTGCTGCTCCTGCACACAGTAGATCAGTGTTTATAACATCCCCCACTGAGCTGAGTGCAAATTAAATCAGGCTAATTTAGCTTACACCACCTTGTTCAGCTGCTAGCCACAAAAGGAAACAGAGGCATGACAGTTGGGAGAAGGCATGTGCTTTGTGATGGGAGCTGCTAACTGAGCCTCTTCAGCAGCCCAGCAGGACAGCAGCACCACGACACCGCTGCTCAAGGGCTCCGGGTGTCCCTGCTCCCTCCAACCTGCTCTGTTTCCCAGATCTGAACCCTTTGGCTCCAGTGACATCACAGCAGGCCAAGCACAATAGATGATAGATATATCATCTGTAATAAAAAAGTCCAAACACAGCTATCTATTTATCTGGTTCTAACAGTTTTCTCATAAAAACAGAATGAGAATGATAGTGTTTAGAAGCAGACTGTTCTGGGGAATAAAGCGCACACTGTTGTTTTTACTGTTTAATGCCTCCTGACTAGGAACACTTACACGCAATGGGGTTCCTGTCTAAATATGCTTATGCTGTTGCACAGGCTTCAGTGGAGCAGTAAGCACACAGCTGAGTTCAGCCTTTTGCTTGTGTTTACATTCTTATCCACAGTCCACCTCACTCCTGAATCTCATACACACTCTCAAAGGACATTTATGAGATTAAGCACCTTAAAAGTCACAAAAGGCCAGAGGGAAAGCTGCCTATGCAAGCTTAATGTAACTCCTTCCTACAAAGGCATTAGAGTATGGTCTTTCATTATATGTTCATTTCTGCTGAAGCTCTGTTTCATTCAGTGCCCAGACTAAGCTGTGCTCTGGAAAAGAGCCACAATGGTGCTGTCTTCAGGAACAAAGGGGAAAAAAGCCTGTAATAGGTACTCAGTGTGGAAATTTCCAGCAAAGATAAATAAATGGTAAGAAAGTGAAAACGGATCCCCTAGACAGATGCATCAGGCAACTCCAACATGGAGTTTGATGTGAATAGTCCTACTTACATGTTCTCTAGTGCTGTTCACAGCTACAAAGCCAGTTTCCACTATCTAATTAGCTATAGCCTACATGTGGCTGCATCACTTAAAAGTACAGACACATGAACATGCACACACACACACACTATCTCTCTCATTCTGCTTTATAAAAAGTAACTGACAAATATCCAAATGTTTTACCAGACTGCTCCTGCATCATGTTACAGAGAAGATCTACTCCCTGCCAACCTCTGGTGACTTAAAGACAATATGGGATCAGTTTACTTCTCACTGTACTGTACTGTACTTCTCAATCTGCACAGAGAACCCACTGCCTTTCTGAAATAAATATGCAAACATCACAGCCTCCATCTACAACAAAGAGCTGGAGGCCTGGCTCATCGCTTGGTCAAATCAACTTAGTTTCACTTCAATAGAACTATGCTGACTTCTAAAAGCAAAAGAGATGGTTTCAATGCTTGCAAATCTCTTTTCCAAGTCACGGTTAGGGAAGAGCATTCATTCAGAGTCCCCACCCCTTCTTCCTCACAAGCACACAGACTCCTGCCCTCCACCATGGATTGAGCAGCTGCAGAACTGGGATTTCCTCTATTAGGTGACAAGCCACTCGGGGCAGGAGCTGTTTCTCTCCCAGGTACAAGAATCCCAGCACCAAGCACAGCAACTCAGCCGCTATACTCCATAGTGTCACGCTGCACTCACACTGGTTGGCATCCAGCAGCCTTTTCTCAGATGGGTTGTCTGAAGTGAAATAGGACTCAAAATAAATACATTTACTAGCAAAAAACTCCAGTTCACCAAGTCTGTGGTTATTGAGTCAAGTCTGCTTGAGGGGAAGACTCTTCATAAATGGTAAATTGCAGAGCTGAGCCAGAGTGTACAGGAAATTGATACAAAGCAGCCTTCCTCATCCTGGTACAGGCTTAGTCGTACCCTCGTCTACCGCATTGCTTCAGGAATACAGTGTCATCATCATCCACTGTAAAATAATAGGAAAAGTGGGTTGAACTCATTGATCTCTATGAGAGCTCTGCAATATTCACAAGTGAACTGGAATACGGGGCATTAGAGAACTGTCTCCAGAAGGAGCAGAAGCCAGAATAAGGCAGAAGACTTGGAAGCCTGAAGCTCCTTGTTTCTAACCGTCTCTGTAAGAAATTAGGTAAAGATACCTTTTCTTAATGCTACAACATAAAACATGCACTGCACCGCTTGCCATGAAGAAGTCTGCATTTGACAGTCTGGGAACAGGCTTTACCTCGGATTCCTGGAGATAAATCCCTTTGCCATCTTGTGTTAAGTTGCGAAAGGCTTCTGCAAAAGAAATAAATGAGAAGCATTAACTTGATATCCAAGAGATCAACACCAGCCAAGACTCTGTCTCAGGAAAAGCCTCAAAGGCATAGTTCAGAAGCTATTCAGGAGTGTATGTGAGCTTCTCTGGTCTGTCACTTGAACAACCCTGAAAGCTGGGACCCAGACAGCAGCTCAATAAACTCAGGCATGTTACTGTCTGTCCATTCAACTGTTAGGCCTTGAAAAGCATGTGGCCCAAACCTCATCCTCTACAGTGCTGAGACATGTACAAAGCGTCTACAACATGATCTCAAAGACTGAATAACAGCTGTCTCATCATAACTGCACTCCTACCACAGGTATATTCCAAGGCTCTATTCTTTCTGGAGAATGAGGAGTCTCCATCTGTAATTCACCTACCTCCTCCTACAGAAGGTTGGTGCAAACCTGCAGGAAACTAAATCACTTTGATATGTACGACCTGGCTATCTGTAGGAAGCGACTGGTGGAAAGATAAAAGAGAGTGCTTGATTTTCTCTGTATCTGTCCCTTGCTTTTAATTGCTTGCTCTTGCTCTGTTCAGAAACCCAATCCTTATTTTGACCTTGCCACTCCCAGCTGGAGCAGTGCCAGAACAGCCAGGGCTTAGCTGGGCAGCCTGGCTTGCCTGGCCAACCACATAGCACCAACCTCACCTCCCATGATCTCCACTCGAAGCATGAAGCACACAAAGCTTTCAAAGCGGATCTTTAAGTCAGGGTCACCATATCTGATTGCCATCAAATTACAGACTTCATTGCTGAGGGAAATACCTTCATAAAAAGGAGAAAAAAAAAGGGGGGTGAGGGGGTGAGAACAGAATGAGATAGCAAGTCTGAGCTGTACACAGCTGAATGATGATCTTTAAGTTCCATTCCAGCCCAAAGCAACCTATGATTCTACAAATGTGCACAGCTATGGGTATGCTATGCACACAGCTGTGAGGGTGCACAACTGAGAGGCCTTCAGCCCTTCTCCAACAGCTTGTTTTTGCAGACCTCCCCTACGATAGCCAAATATCAACCAGCCCAAAACAGGCCATTACACAGAGATTACATCTCCTTCAAACCTGAAAGGGTTCAGATCTGATCCCCTCACAGAGGGAGTTGGCCAGAGTTGAAATAAAATACACATGGGCACCCTTTGCTCAAGAGGTATGAGGAAGTAACAGCAGCTGTGTTTAAGAGCAATACTCCACAAAAGGATAAGAAAGAAGGTGAAAAAGAAAATACAGAGGAAGCTCATAAGAAAGCATCAGTCCCAGTGTCAAGCAGCATTTGCAAGGAATAGAAGTATTTTCTATTCATAGCCTGGGATTTTAGTTTGCTGGTCTCCCTGGGTTTCTCACTGTGTTTGCACTGACTCAGATGAACTGGGTGAAGAGTGATATTTAAGCTGTACACATTCAATGAAGCTACAAGATTGAGCATCAGCCCCCACTCAAATCCCACTGAGAGCAACAGAGCTTAGTCCAGCATTTGGATCCATATGTATTGTCCTCTATTTCTAGATCAAGCTTCAGATATTATATTAGCGAAGTCAGGCACCAGCATTGCCTCTGTGCAAGTCCCACACTTACAGGTTCAATCCCTGAGCTGTCAGCTTCAGCAGAGGTAGCGATTTAGTATGAGCTAGATCTGGCCTCCTGTATCCACACAACCCCACACAGTCCTTTACAATTAAATTAGCAATGAACAGGAAGGGATTTAAAAACTGGGTCTAAAATAGACAGACACTTCTGTTTCAGAGAACTATCCATATGAGACCACACTGGGGCAAAGATTAAGTCCCCATCCCACAGCAAAATAAGTTTCAGATGAGTTTATCTAGCTAAAGAGGGAAGCAGAGATGGCTAAAACCATGCAGCCTATGGTGTTTTCCCCTCCTCCTGGGCTCTATCTACAATTCTCAAGATGTTTCCTAGCCCTAGGCTTTTTCTAGCCTTTCTAAGGAAGAGGACTTGCCAAGGTGTGCTGTGGGCTCACCTGTCTCCTGTACAGCTGCATGCAGTTCCACAAGGTCAAGCTTTCCTGATCTGCTAGTATCTCTTTTCTGGAACACTTCCTGGTGAGGGGAGTATTTTTAAACAAAACAAACTCCCCCAAAACAACAGATGACACCAAAGGGACTGTGAGCAAGGAGATACAGAAAGGGGCCACACAAATTATTGTTATACCAAATAGAAACGCAGCCTTTTCCACAGGACTCTGAATTCCTGGATACTCAGCGTGCCAGAGGTGTTCAGCTTTGTGGGAGAATTAAGGTCAGAACATCCCAACTAAATATCAGAGAACATCCATTACATAAAAACCCCTAACAAACCAAAACCTCGTAGACACCCTAACATTCACACAATTATAATATGATAATGATTTCTTAACTGATAAGGCCTATCTATATATGCTTGATCCTTCCACCACTAAATTCATAGAATCATAGAAAGGTTTGGGTTGGAAAGGACCTTTAGACCATCAAGTTCCAACCCCCCTGCCATGGGCAGTGACACCACACACCAAACCACATCACCCAAGACTACGTCCAGCCTGGCCTTGAACACTGCCAGGGATGGAGCATTCACAACTTCCTTGGGCAACCTGTCCCAGTGCCTCACCACCTTCACAGTAAAGAACTTCTTCCTTATATTTAACCTAAACTTCCCCTGTTTAAGTTTGAACCATTATCCCTTGTCCTATCACTACAGTCCCTAATGAAGAGTCCCTTTCCAGCACCCTTTGTAGGCCCCCTTCAGATACTGGCTGCTGATATCATAGGCAGCAGGAATCAACCATTTCCCAAACCAATTCCATTCTGTTACAGCTGAACTGTTATTATGGAGTGCGAGAAGTGCAAGGGCTGTGTTCTGGTGGTAAAGAAATCACAGTAACACCCAGTCTGCCCTAATAAATAAAGCTCCAGAGAAACATCACTCATGCCAAGGATACATCCAGGAGCGCCAAGATACCCTGGCAGGCATCCAGACTGAAACTCAGGTGAAAACTCTGGAAATCTGGAGAGAAAGAAGAAAGAAAAATTGTTTTGGAGAGTCATTGAACATCTCTCAGAAAAATGGACTCTGACAAAATTCCCCCTCACTTGAGAGGGCTCAGGCCCCAAAGCCTGTGTGAAACTTTACACCCACTTGAGAAGATGTATCATTTATGATGATAAAAATATGAGGCTACAGGATGGATTCTACTAGTCGCAGAAAATCCAATATGAGCTCCCTGCAGGCATGTAATACAGAATGAAATATGGTCCACTATCTCCAGCTATTAGAGAAAATGGAAGGAAAAGGACATCTGAAGCTGTAATCCCAAACAGAATTTACTGCATGACCTTGAGCAAAGTTGCTTGACCTGAAGAGCTTTGGGGAGCAGCACTACAGATTGAAACCCTTGTGCTAATCATCTCCATCTCTCTCTTTCACAGACACACTGCCAGTTTTGTTAATATAATTAAAAGTGCAGGCATCACTGAAAACATGATGCTGCACCAAAGCTTAGCATTCCCAGTTCATACATAAGTTACATGAAGAGTAACAGAAATAGACTTTAATCTCACTGCAAATCATGATTATAGATTGTCTGTGGACTTCCACTGAGCAAGGGACAGAACCATAATTCACCAACCCCTTCTCTGCAGAAAGTGAAGATGTTTTAATCTTGTAATCGCCCTGTTTAGTAAGTATGAATCAAGTACTGTAAGGTTTTTAAATTAATGTCTTCATATTGATCACTTATGAAAAATGAAGACTCTGTTTAACATAGTCTTCTCACAGATAAGACAGTGCCTGGTGGGTCACTTTGCAAAGACAGAAGCGCTATCTTTGTCTACCTTTTTGGAAAAGGGAGCAGTGTCATATTCAGCTTAAGTGGAAAAAGCATCACATAAGTCTTTTGTTTTTCTTCTTTGTTGCCTATAATGGCTGGATGGTGTGTTTTGTGTTGCACATTGGTTGTTATCAGTGAAGAAACTGGGCAGGAAAATTGAATTCATCATTATATCTGTAGCTTTGTTACCACTTTTCAGAGAAAACAGCCCCTGCAATATCTTGCTGCTGCCAGGTAGTTTTATTTATAACCAGGGACCAAATTATGAGTTTATGGAATACTCTAGGCTGCCACTGGCATAGTGGATGTCAGTCCTTGCAAGAGAGACAACCTCAGGGCTCACCTGGTTCTTGCAAGTGTAAGTTACACAGGCTACCTGCACCTCCATCCTGTCTCCCAGACACAAACAGAGCAAGAAAACAGCCCTATGCATGCATAGTAGGGAAGAGTGAGTAATAGCAGGCATGAACCAGGCACATCAAAGTACAGGTAAGTCCCCCTTCCACTGCATAACTGCCTATAGAGCAGGCTAACTTTCTACACCTTGTAGCAGTGGTGCTGCCAAGACTGTGGCAAGTGGCACAGGGTGAAATATGGTAGTTCAGAATCAAGGCTGAGATTAAGCTGGGCTTGGAGGTCCAATTCAGACTTGGCATTCACACACAATATCTATGCTTGCTCTTCCCCCTCATTCTTTCAGTTGTTGAAATTCAAACTCAATTAGCTTCACCTACAAAACTTCTACCACATCAATTCATACCCCAGCAAATCATTTCTCTCTGGAAATCAAACATGGTGTCAGAAGAGTCAGCTCAGTCAGACTGAAGCCAATTTCTCTTCCCAGAATTCGAGAAACAGATACAGTAGCTGAGGCTTTTCTCTAAGAGGGTTTATTTCACAGAAACATTCTTTTTCAGCACTTACTTCTCCAAGATATATTATTCAGGATCCTCTGGAGCTGAACAGCATTTATTTCAGGATTCTGTGATACAGAAGAGAATTCTAAATTCTTTTTATATAAAGTATTAAATCACCTTTCTCCCTCTTTTGTTTTCCCACCATGTCCCATCTTCATTCTCTGCTTTTCTGGCCCCACTCCAGCCACTGTGAAGATCAATAGAAAAGACTCCCTTTGAATATGACAAGAGTATCAGCCTGCAAGGGCTGCAGTCTGCTCTGGGCTAAGTTCTCAGGGCTCTGCACAGATCAATACAGTAGTGTAGATTTATGCTGAGTGAGGATCCAGGCTGTTAACCTTTCAGCCCCGGTGCCATCTGTCCCATCAAGCACACTGTCAAGAAACCTGCTTCAAATATTTCCCTTTTATCATTTACAAACAAACAAAAAAAAAAAGATGGAAAGTTTGGAATACTTTCTTCCCAAACTTTTCAAAGCAGAATCTTCCTCTCCTCCTTGTTATACTAAAGTTTACAGATTTTTAAGGAACTGTGACTTATTTTTCTTCGGAGGATGTTTTTTTAAATGTCACTCTTCCAAATAAAAGCCCATTTTCAGATCATGGAGCCATGCCAAGGTAATACATTAAGAAGTGGCAGAACTTGCCTCTGTGTGTACTTGGACCTCCTGAAGCAAAGGACCAGCACTTCACAATATGTGGCAATTTCTAGCATGTCTGGAAGCCACGTTGTTCTCAAAATCAAAATCTTACACAAGTGGCCAAAAGTAAAGCATTGCTTGTTTTTAGTAACAGCTAAATATTGCTCAACATTTAAATAGTCAAAATATTGCTATCCAAAGAGCAAATGTGTTTTTATGAAATTGTGTTTGCCAAATGCAGGGTATGTTCCTAAATAAATCCTTTCCAAAAGGTGAAACACTTGCATCCTTTGTCAGTTAGTGGGATTCCTGAATGTCAACTCCATCCCAAATCAGGATGGAGAGATGATTAAAAAAAATCTTTCACAATAAGGATCATATTCACTAGGAAAGTTAGTGAAAAAGGGAGGTGATGGGATACCTACTTCACTTCTCAAAGCAAGTTAGCTACCATCAAACTGTGCTGAAGAATGTGTGAGACAAGTGCCAATATTTCTCTAATAGGAGACTTTCCCCAGTGAGTGTAAGAACACCCTAAAGGATAGGATGGATCCCCACCGCCCATCACTTTATCCCCAGTACAGGCAATAGGGATTAATATATAGGAGGAGCACGTGAGCCTGGCCAGCTTCTGCAGTTCATTCTCCTGTTTCCCAGGCACCCACACCTGTTGGAAAAGGGATCTTAGGGGGTACATCCTTTAGTATCTGTTTATGGAACTGCTGCCCATTATTTTGCTAATACCTTCCAGCCTGTTGATACTGTCATCACATCCACAATGTCCTGTGGCATTAAGTTCCAAGCATTTGCGCTCAGTTGTGGAGAGAAGTATACCTGTTTCAACACTAACACTGCTAAGCTTCACAGTCACTGGACACACAGCCCAACCTCATGTGGTCCCTCTGCTTTACACACTTCCACATCCAGACCTCCTGTGAACATCCATGTCCTTTTACTTTCACAGAGCTATAGAATAGCTCTGGAGGAGTTTACTCTGGCAGCTCATGCACACACTTACCTGTTCAAAATATTTTGTGAAGAAATCCTTCCAGATCTTGCCCTCATACCTATCTACAATTTCCTTTAAGATATTTAAAAGAAAAAAAGTCATAATAATTAAGTCAAGGAAGAAGAACATTGCCAAAGACCATTGCTAAAGATGCTTTCCCAGAACTGCACTCTTGTCCTCTACCCTTCCACTCTCTCCCCACCACTGCAAGCAATGCTACATCACTGCTAAAATAGCTCCCACCCCCTAGAAATGTTATTTTTGGAAAGAAACACTCAGGTAACACTAGGGTGAGGAGAAATATTTCCTTCCCCCCCAAGCTGTTCAACAACAAAGGATGGGGCTCGTTCCATGCCAAGAAAGGGAATGGTCTCTGTCCTTTATACAGGAAGACAGAGGAGCAAATAAGAAGAATAACGGTGTAACAAAAAGAAGTTTGCAAAAAGACAACTAAGGTGTTGAAAAATTTGCCCGTCCCCCCCATTTGACTGCATCTGTGCACAGGATCCAGGGGACTCTGCCTGTAAACCCAAGCTGTGCTACAGGAAGTGCTACAACACAAGAACACCCATTCTCACTCAGCGACTCCATAGTGTAAAGCAACAGGAAAAACCCAACACTCAGAACTGAAGACCAAAGCACAGACCTCCCACTCCTCTCATACTCACCTTAGATAGGGTAAAAGTGGTGTTGCCACCCATTTCCCTGGAGATACAAAAAAGCAGACACATTAAGGAGATATCCCAGAGCTTTGTGTTTGTCTCATCACAGGTGGCATACCCCATTCCCAGATGGGACCACAACCTCCTGCTGCAGCATGTATTTTTTCCTAGTGTTACAGCTGCAGCAAGGGAAGCCCACATGTCCATATGGCTCTCCAAGGCCTCATGGCATTTGAAGTCTCCAAAGCACTATTTCTGCACAAGCAACCATCATAGCATTGCCAGCAGGGTCTCCTGGTAAATTGATGGTGCATTAAAAGCCTCTCGTCCTTCTCCACATTCTCAAACATAAGCATGCTGCAAGAATCCTTTCTGTGGGTCTAGCTCAACACTACTTGAAAGGATAAAGCCAAAAGCAGTGCTTCAGCCATTGAGAATCCTAAAGTAGAAGAAACTCACAACCATTCTCTCCAAAAGAGATTGTGTTGCCTTTTTGCAGAGTGAAGTCTTTATGTTGCATCCATGAGACTAGAAAGACCAGACCATCCCACCATTCCAGAGATACAGGTACTAGCAGAGGGGCAGCAGCATCTCACCGAAGAACATGCTTCCTGGAAAAGACCCGCAGGATGAATTCAGCCTCCTGCTGAGGCTCCAGGGTGGATGGGACAATCACATAGACACAAGGCTCCAGGTGGAAGTCATGAGTCACCTCTCGCTCATCAAGGAAGACCTTGTGCTTGTTCACAGGCTGATGTTGGGTGAAGAATGCTGGGGGCAGCTTTCTATTGCTTTCTTGGTACTGTTAAGGGAAGAAACAGAAATGTGTTCTACCCCAGCCAAACAAATGGACAAAATGCAGGTGGAGAGCTCACAGCATGGCATAGACAGCCTGCCTTCACACCTCGGATGTTTTTACAGCACAAGCAGGTAACAGGGCCCAAAGGGCTTAGTCTCCTTCCAGGACATGGTGATTCTCACTATACACCACCCCTGCCCAACGTTAATATAACAAAGAATGAACTTCCTGCAACCTTATCAACTTAATAGTACTTGCAAGGAACAGCAGCAAAAACTGGGGAGGAGAAGTGGCTCCTGTCAAAGTGGCTACTGCAAAAGTAATTTCCATACTTGCAGAAATGACTGCAGGCAGGAACTGCTTTAGAGATTGCTCTTCACTAACTAGGACATCTCTCCTACGCAATAGGAACCATGCACTTTTTTTCCCAGCTTGCCCTTTATACTAGGGATCTGGTAGTAGAGGATCTTTCAGAGCACCTGTGATCTGAACGTAATGCAGGACCATCCTAATTCCTCACCTCTGACTCTATGCATGTGTCCTTGATCTGCCTGGCACTCTTAGCATTTACAGATGTTTTGTTCTGCAGGCACTTTCCTGCAGTAGGAGGATGGATAAAATGTTAATCTAGGCAACTCTGAACTCATTTTTAATGCCATGGAATGCCCAGTACACAAGCCAAATAATTAATCCTGCTACCTAAAACCACTGTCCCCTTCTGCTCTTGGCTGTTCCTCAGAACATTTAGCCATTTTACTCCACAGCCTCATAGTGGAGATTCTGTTCCCCTTTCTTTTGCCAGTATTTTTCTTGCTAATAGAGCAATCTTTCTTCTGAAGGGTTCAGGGTTACTCCTCCTGATGCCCCTTATTTTAAATTCAAAGTTGTTACATTCCAGTCAATACTTTGTTGACTGTAGTTCCAATATCTTATATGCTCTCAGCTTGTCATCTCTCTATATTGATCTTGGCAACTGCTACAAACGTGAAACTGAAGTCTTGGCTGACACCAAGGTGTGGCACAGCAGTGTGCTAGGGCCACACTCAGAACCCCTCTGCCAGGAAGTTTAACTCATTTGTAACCCCAATAGTGCCCAAAATATTTAAGTCAGGATGGAGTGGCATCTTACCTCATGGTTACCATGCTGCAAATACAGTAAGTGGGAACACAATTGTGCTGCCCTGACCATACACCCAAACTAGCTCTTTGCCACCCTGAATTCAAAGGGACTCTCATGTAAACAGTGTTCTGAGTGGTAACAGAATGGAAAGTATGCCTTTTCCAGATAACAACAGCTAAACCTTTCCTTGTTTTTAATAGCCCTCTGAAGTCAAGGCCAAAACTGGGACTTACATCAGGGTTTAAGTTCCAGAGCCCTTCTTCAGGTCCCAAAGGCTTCTGGCTAAAGAAAATGCTAGAAATACATCTGGCCAAAGGAAGCTGAAAACTCCTGCAGCATCAGCTTCAGAGCATCCCCAACCAGGAATGAACCTGGGCTCCCCAGGAGATCCCTGACTTGCATGGGACACAGGTTCTGTTAACACTTCATCCCAAGACTGAGAGGCAGCAAAAAAGTAACTCTGGCTCCCCTGAGAGCTGCACTGAGTTCAGATTAGACATAGTCAAGAAATGGTCAAGAAACCATCCCACAAGTGCAGCACGGACAAAGTGCTGATCAGGTAAACACTGATGCTGCTTGTAATACCTTTGAAGGCCCAGTGCAGAAGCTGAACTATTAATGCCCCCTTTTAAGGCCACTGAGCCCTGCTGATACAGCTGCTTTTCAGAAGAGTCAGTGGATAGCTCTGCATTAATAGTGACTTACTGTGGTGCCTTACTGAATTCAAATACACTGTTACTAGCTCTCAGCCAAGGAACAAAGGCAAACACACCACCTTCAGTGTTGTCATAACAGCTATACCAGCCCAGGTCCTCCTGCAAACAGCCAGCAGTGTTGACAAGGGACTCACCTGTCGGTCCACCTGCAGGAAGAAAAGAAATAGCATCTGTCAGGCAGGAATCTCTGGGTCTCATACAACATAGCCATGTCATTGCTGGGAAGCAATTATATATGTCCAGCTGGGGTCTTTGCCTTCAAAAAGATCAGCCCCTCAACCTGAATACCCTTCCCCACAGCCATCTCTCTGTAACTGCACAAACTCACTGCAGCAACGAGAGCTGTGGCTCTGTCCAAGGGAGAAGAGTGGCTCTGCAAGGCACTCAGATAAGCAGAGAGCTGAGGGAGGGGGGGAACTCTCACTCCTTCTGGTGATACCCACTTACCTTGGATACACAGAGAACTAGCAGCTGCCACCCCACACTAGGTATACTTCTCAAACACAAGGCTAGATATAACCAGAGAGCAGCACTCTCCCTGCCCCAAAGTAAGGGGACTTCTGGCATCCTTTTCTAGGGTTTGCACATGCTCTCAGAGAGGACAAAATAAAGCTCAGTGTGCTCTGAAGCAACAGGCACTTCTCTCTGCTCTGCAGGCTGACACACAGCATGCCAGAGAGGCAGCAAGTGAGGCACAAAGCCTGTAGGAGCCTAGCCCTGCTGTGTGAGAAGACTGGGCACAGGCAAGAAGAACAGAGACCACCCTGCACACAACAGAACTCCTGGTTTGCAAAGCTGTACAATTTACAGGGGCTGGAATTTTTCCTGTGTGGTGAAAGCAAGAAAGGCAAAGCAATTCTTCACACCTTGTAGAGTGAAAATCCAATGAAGAGGTGGGGAGCTCGGTTCCGGTGTTTGCTGCTGTGTTTCTGCATCAGGGATATAACCACATTGCAGGAACCCAGGCTTTTCTTATTGTCTTCAACTGGTAAAACATTCAGCCAATACTGAGGATTCATCCAGAAGGTGCCTAAACAAAATGGGAAAAGCATTTTTATGTCATTTTCCATCACAAAATTGATTGCCAGTTTCCCATTTGATGGTTGACATCAGACTGAATAGATCACAGGTTGTCTGGGCTCCAGAGCTCACAGGGACTTGATCTTCAGGTGCAGTTTGCACATCCAGCAGTGCAACCACAATGTAGGACAGAAGGAAGGCCAGGGAACTACATCTCTGCTCATACACAACTAAGAGTTCATTTTGTTTATAAATGTATCACTATTCCTCTATCACCTCCAGTGTATGGGTTAGCTAACTTCAGATCCCATCTGCTCCGCTTCCAGGAGGGCTGAGCCTCTTCATTTCCCATCCACTTTACTTCAAATACCACTCTCTGGAGGTGCCAAGGATGCAAATTTTAACAAACAAGTTTAATGCCACGAAGAAGTTCAGTGTTGGCAATTGATCCTACTATCCTGCACCTCATTTCATGCGATAACAAGTCCACTACCCTATGCTAGCAAGTAATGACTAGCTTCTGCTATCACAGAAGCTGCAAAGTCTTTCAGCTGCTTATTTCTGATGTTTGTGTGGAGGGAGAGGCAGGAAGACCATGTTTCTGTCGTCAGTTTTGTGTTAACAGGTATAAAGTGCTGGTAATTGTGTTAGGAAAGCAACATTACCCCAAAGTCATCCAAAAGAGCATCCCTCACCATTACGGAATCCCAGACTTCCTCCTGCTGTACTTCCTTTAACCCATCTCCCCTTCTTCAGGGAGTACATCCACTTCTTCCCATCTTCCTGGCTCATCAGGTCTGGAGTTAACTTACAGATCATCAGATCTACAAAATGAATCTTAAAATCTCGCAGAGACATCCTGGGAAAAGAGTGCCAAGAAACATCTTGTCAGCAGTTTAGTTTAGTCCATATGGCTTATAAAAAGAAAAAGGAGCAGGGAACTTCGAAGCTGCACCATTTTGTGCTACATATGGTAATGCTCATATTTTATTAGGCAGTAAAGAAAAGAGCGTCTGCTCCATCAGCAGCAGCTAGGAGTAGCAAATGCACGACTGAAAATTCAGTAAAGGATAGCAGCACGGAGATTAAAATAGTATTGCCACCGAAGGGAGAGCAGTGGTACGACAGGGGTGACAACATTGCCACCTCGTGGCAGAAGCTATGGAGAAACCACGAGCAAACAATGCACGCAAGAGCTTCCCAAAGCTATCGTCAAAAAAAGGCAGGACAAAAACTCCTGAAAGCTGTCTCCAGCAGCGGTGTCCTGCTTCTCCCTCACTCCTGCCACTGAAGAACAGTGAATGTCTTCTGTGTCAGCACAGTTACTGCTTCTCACGTTGTCATGTAGCGGAGGACAGAACGAAAGCAAGCATGGGCTGTCATAAAGGAGATCCCATATACCTTGACCTAAATGTGCTGCTTCATCTCCAGATGCAGCCCCAGAGGTACTGGCAGAGAAGGGAAAAGCAAGCCTGTGCAATTACCAAAATTCTCCATCATCCTTCTTTTTCCTCAGCAAAATCTTCTCCTTTGGGCTCAGCAGCTCCCACTTGTAAGAGCTGAGGGCAAAAACAAGGTGACTATTCAAACATTGCCTCAAATTCAAGGCAGAGTACACAGCTTTTCTCTAAAAGAAGAAGCCAAATTCCTGTCCCCACATATCTCCACATTTATTCCCCACTAAACACAGGTCCCCTATGCCCTTCAGCCACAGGAGATGCTCCACAAGCGCTCTGGGTCCCATGAGATGTAGCTAAATCATAGAATCATAGAATAGTTCGGGTTGGAAAGGACCTTAAGATCATCAAGTTCCAACCCCCCTGCCATGGGGAGGGACACCTCACTCTAAACCATATCACCCAAGGCCTCATCCAACCTGGCCTTGAACACTGCCAGGGATGAAGCATTCATAACCTCCTTGGGCAACCCATTCCAGTGCCTCACCACCCTAACAGGAAAGAATTTCCTCCTTATATCCAATCTAAACTTCCCCTTTTTAAGTTCTAACCCGTTACCCCTTGTCCTACCATTACAGTCCCTAATGAAGAGTCCATCCCCAGCATCCCTATAGGCCCCCTTCAGATACTGGAAGGCTGCTATGAGGTCTCCACGCAGCCTTCTCTTCTCCAGGCTGAACAGCCCCAACTTTCTCAGCCTATATTCACAGGGGAGGTGTTCCAGTCCCCTGATCATTCTTGTGGCCCTCCAGTTTTCTCCAGCAGTAGCCAGAAATACTCCATTTCCATACGCCAGTCCATTCACTTGCACACACAGCTTCCAAGTACTTAAACCATAAAAATCTAGACCTGTTTTGTTGGTTAATTTTCTGTCAAAGGAGACATAATAGGAAGAGTGTTTGGCATAATGAATGAATGACTAGGACAGCACAAGAGGCAGCTGGGAGTCATTTAAAAGGCAGGCCTACAGTATGTTGCTCATTATGCTCTTTAACAGGAACAGCTGGTATGTTGTCATTATGTGACAGAAATGCATCAGAGAAGTTACTGCTCTTCAGACAAGGTGAAAGTCACTCACAATTCCCAACACCTCCCTGTGCTCTTCCCTCCTCCCCACCTCCAAGCCTCAGCAAACAGGGGATGAAGTGAAGCTTGGAAGAAAGGAATGTGCTCTGCTTCAAAGAGGAATAGGACACAAGTCTACAGCTGTCAGTGGTCTAGAATACAAACCATTATCTTACATGGATCTCAATCAAAAACTTCAGGCAGGTGCAAATATAAGGGCCCATTTGCCCCCCTAGTTGCTTCCTCTGATCTCATACTTGTGTTTCCCCATACAGCCAGGATGGAGGACTCCTTCACAGCCGCTCAACTCCAGCACTTTGCAGCCCATGGAGGACTTTGCATGGTCCCTCCCATGCCCTGAAACATGCTGTTTGTTTAAAGCTTCCTGCATAGCTGTCACTCTGTATGCCAGCCAGGTCACAGCAATGTGGTCGGTGTCTGAGGTTTCCTCTGGTATTCAGTGAACGGAAAAGAACTGAGCTTGTTGAAGCTGCATGTGTGAAATGAGCCCAACTATGTGAGCACTATGTGCTAGAGAAATACAAATCTGTCAAGTCACTGCTTTGACACCAGTGTCTGTGCAAGCAATTGTTACTTATCTTAATGCTGCTCTCAGCACTAATTCATGCCTGAAGATGGCAGCATCTTTACTTCAAAAAACTTTTCCTCCCACTGGGCATCAGACCTTCCCTTTTTAAACTCACCTGTCACTCCAGTCTCCTTTCCATTCAATTTTTCCCCATGGATTTCTCAGTCTCACTAGGTTTTCCGGTCCACATTGACAGGTCACCTGCAGAAAACAGTAACATTGCATTGGGACTTATTATTTTACTGTCACTTACCCCTAGACAGATATCTTTAGGGGACTTCCAATGACACTTCTGCAGATCAGTGGGACCCACCTTCACTCTGCTCAGAAGCCTGGCTCAGTTCCCTTATTTTAGCCTTGACTCATGTTTCCACCTGCAGTTTTTCATGGTTTTGTATTCCATTATCTCTACTTCCCTGTGGCCCCTCCTCTGATTTCAGAGGAAGGCTTTTTATCCCAAGTAGCTTTCAGTACATCCTCCCGGCATCCCCAAGGGCCAGTTCTCTCATTCCCAACATCCAAGATGCATTTGTAGGTGATGCTTTCAGCAGAGCGCTAGGAATCATTTCCACACTTCTAGATATGCTGATCTATAACCACTGTCCTTTACATTAAGGTCACGATACTAAAATGGACACACTTGGAAGTGAACCCTTACACACACTCTTTTAGCTTTAGTGTAAGACAAGAGCACTGGGGGAAGAAATACTATAGATTTCCTATGGCCACCTAAAGCTTGAACCTATGCCATAAAAATTGCTGACATCCAAACAAACCTGGACCCAGGACATTAGGGATAGTCTTACCTTTCTAATACCAGTTACTGTGTAGGCATGGCCAGCAACAAGCCCATTCTTCAGGACCTTTGTTGCCTGTATAAAAGGAAGAGAAACAGAAGGAAAATAAACCTTTTATTTTATCCCTGCTTACACAGCAGACTCATACTTATGCCAGAGACCTGTATCAGTGTAAGCAATGACTCCCAAAGCAAATGAAGATTGTTTTGAACTGGAAAAAATAAATAAATAAAAATAAGTCTAAGCTCCTAACAGCCATATTTTGCAGTATGCTTGGATTTGGAAAGTTGATACAAGGATCTCTTCCTAAATTACGGATCTTTGGCTAGAGACCTCATTTTTTAGAAGTCCAGGAACAGCAGAATCATAGAACTGTTTGGGTTAGAAGGGACCATAAAGACCATCTAGTTCCAATCCTCTGCTATGGGCAGGGACACCTTCCACTAGGCCAAATCCTGCCCAACCTGGCCTTAAACGCTGCCAGGGATGAGGCAGCCACAACTCCTCTGAGCAACCTGTGCCAGGGCCTCACCACCCTCATAGTGAATTTTTTTTCCTAATATCCATTCTAAATCTTGGAATTCAAGATCTGAGTTCATGTTCTGAACTACACACCTCTCTATCTTAGATATAAGATATTCCATGAGTATCTGTGCCTCACTGCACCACCTGTAAAAATAGAAAATTTATTTAACAAAAATGGGAAGAAGAACAATATGTAACAGAGGTTCTTTGATAGGTAAACCAGTCCCTAAGCATAACAACAGGGAGCTGAGAGCAGCAGAGAATCAATCCATGTGCAAAGTTTAACTTTAAGAATGTGGCTTCTATAGAAAGTCCCATGCAGCAGCTTTGATACTTTTTGAGTCACAGTGACTAGCTGAGCAGAGCAAAACAGGTCTGGAAAGGCTTTTGGCTGTGAAGCCTTTTGATGTCACTCCAAGTCTCACCCCTAAATGTGTCTGACAGCCCATGAGAGATCTGCTGTAGACTGCTCTGGTCAGGATATCCCACAGATCAGGAGGAGCTGCTGCAAGCTTGATCTTTATATTAACACCACCTGTAAAATCCACCAAGGCTTCTGAAACTTGCCCAAATTGCAGATCTTCATAGGAGCCATAGAGTCTAGCAAAAAAAGACATCAATATACTCTTGGGATTACAGTCACACATGGTAAAAGAACAGTGTACTAATGAAAACATACAATAAAGGTTTGCAAAAACAAAAGGAAGGTTTTAAGTCATGGTTAATTTAAGGGGAATCTTTGGAATTTAGGAAGAGAGGGATCTAGCAAATTGTCCTCAAGATCAGCCACAGCCTAAAAGGTCTCTCACTGACATTCCTCACAGCACAATAATGAGAACATGTCCATCACTACTTCTTTGATAATTCTGCCTAAGCAAATGTTGCCTGAATTTATCACCATATATCTATATCTAAGGTACAGTGCCTTGAGAAGCATACTGTCTTGAGAGCTCAGTCTCCATTTAACTTTCTTTACCACTGCAGTGCAACTTTCTCTGGTCAGTTTGCTCTAACACCAAATGAAAATATCTCAGCTTCTTCATCTTTGCTGGGATCTTTCTCTCAATATTAACTAGGAGATTTCCCTGCTCTGAAGAAATTATTTCAGCCCAATATTAACAAACGCCATCAGTTCTGCCTTCTTAGTCCTGATAAAGCACTCTAGACAAAACACCCTGGAGAGAAGCCAGTATTCTCACTGTGCCATGCAATTTGTTACCACGCCTCAGCTTTGGGGGATTTCTACCAAAACCAAAATACAATGTTTCAGCAGACACCCAAAGTGAAACTCCTTGGAGGTTTCTCAAACTCATAATACATCAAAGAAGGCATCAGAAATCATTCATTGTTCAAAATCCTGGCCTTTGCTCCTCTGCAGTATTACAAGGAAGGCTTCAGCCTAGCCAATACACTCCAGTGATAGCACTCACAGGACAATCTCCCCACAGCAGGTCTGTTTCACATCTATTCCTAAACCCTTGGATTTCAGTTCAAGGGCCTGGATTGATAACAGCTACTACAGCAGTAGCTTTTACTGCATAACAACAAAAAGATAAGAACCATTTACTACACTCCAAACATGGCAAGGCTTAGGAGATGCAGTTATAAACAAGAACAAACTGTGTAGGCACCAACCAACATATTTTAGAGACACGATTTGCATAAATTGGAATGAGTCACTTACTTAGCATATGCCTTCTCTAGAAGGGCTCCCCAGAACACGTTCTTATAGACTGAGGAAACAAAGATCAGCTCCCCTGCCTCATTCACAGGCAGGCGATCATCCACCACCACGTCAACCCATTCACCGAAATGCCAGAACTGTCAGGAGAAAGGAATGGGGAAAGAATGAGCTGATGTTTCCCTTGGAAGGGACCTCCCCTTGAAACAACAGGAAAGGCAAAACAGCTTAGCTATGGGCACAGGACAAGCTGCTTTGGGTCAGCAGGACATACTGACCCACCCACAGAACCAACTCCTCAGCCCCACCCTGCCAGAGGAGAAAACATTATCAGGTGCAAAGGGATTAAGCAGGGAAATGAGGCACAGTTGGGTTTCTGGGGAAGGAATTCCTAACTGCAGGGTAGCAGAGTTGTATCACATGCGGGGCAATGCAGTAGAAGGTTGGAAGAGATGTGCTCAAGTCCTGCCACTTGTTGCTACTATGTAAAAAGACTTTCATCTGGATTAAAATATGGGTAAGGCACAGCTGGAAAGAAAGGCCAAGCAGAGTTATATCCTCAGAGCGGCTTGTAGTTGATCCACTGCACTGCTCAGTGGAAGGGGTGATGGCTACTCTCCAGGCTGGGATAGCCTCTGGCCACTTGCCCCTGGGCAAGGGAAACAGCATACAAATTACCTCAGAGTGTGACATAAAACATGACAGAGGATTTGTAAAGACCTCCTGTGCTCTGGGGGAGCAGGCGTACCTGGAAGTGGAAAATGCCAGCATATTTCCTCTCAAAGCTCTGGTTTTGTGGCACGACTGCAGCAAAGATGTCCTGGTGGAATGTCAGGGCTTGCAGGGCCGCCAGGAACCAGCAGTTCTCTGCGCCAAGACAAACGGACACATGCAGTTGGCTGAAAAGTGAGTGTTGTCAGCCAAGTTCAGGAACACCACCAAGATCCTGCCTAAGAGCTGTCGTGCTGATGTCTTTACAGTTATAACAACTGTCCATACAATCGTTAACACATTGTACCCAGAAAATGAGATGATCCAGATGCATGCTTTACTTCACTATGTAAAGGCATGCTTTACTTAACTATGGTTTATAATTGCTCACCCATGATCTTTTTATTTGGATACTCTTTGGTTAAATAAGAAATCTAACAAGAAATAGCTGTCAGTGGAAATAGTGGAAATATTCTGGGGTTTTATGGACATTGTGTGTTTGGGGTTGTTTCTCTGTTCTCTATAAAGGCACACTATTTAAAAAATCCCATTTTTCTTAGAAACATTAACTTTTCAGAAGTGAAAAATAATTTCCAATGGATCTCACACACAAGACTGTATTTATCAGACTTCGTGCTTAAGGGCTTAAGCACTTCAACATGAATTTAGTCCTGCCCTACCTGTTTTGCAGATGACAATATACCCTTTCATCTCAGGTAACATGAGCATAGCATTTACTTTCCTAACTGCAAAACTGGGAAGAGAACACAGTCATACCGAGCCTTCAGTACAAAGATAGCGAAAGTTTCAGGTTTGCCTCCGTCTGTGGTCTCTGTGCAACGGTCAAGTAACAACATTCCAGATCAGTAAGAGCACAGGATCACTCCCTATTGCAGTATTAATATGCACAAAGAGTGGTGATTCCAGCTGGTGGAGACACGTTTCATGCCTCAAATCCAACCTTAAAGTTTGACTGGCTTTTTACTGAGTCATCCACAACATGCCAAGTGAAGATAGAAGGATATGTACACCTTCTATTTCTATGCCAAGTCTTATACGGTCAAATTTCCAGGGAAAACATTACCTTGTATAAAAGTTCTTAGATATTTATACAAAAGAGCTTCCTTACCCACCAGTCCTTGGCAGAGATCAAGTTGCTTTCTGTTTACAGCATAAAATACTGGATTTCTATGCAAAGCCTGGAAAGCACACAACCAAAAAAACATGAGAGTCAAGTCAGTAACATAAGCTGGGTTAGTCTAAAGTCAAGGACTTTCTGTAGTCTCCTAAAATGGGAAATCCAGTGAGTTCCTAGTCTAGGATGTAAAAACCTCATGGATATGTGACACAAAATATTCCCTTTGCCTGTTCAAAGCTTTCGAAATGCTTGTGGTCCCTTTGTCCCAGCAGATATTCTTCTGGTTCAGGTATAACTCTAGTGTTACCAAGTGCTCTGGCTAACCTGACACAAGCCTGGGCATACATTCGTGCTTGGTGTGCATTGAATCTGGTCTCAATGTAAGTCACTGATGTGCAGATGCATTGAGAAGAGAACCCTGCAGACCTGCCAGCCCTGCTCCTCCCTAATTGCTGATAAGTACGGCAAAGCATAACTGTTCAAACTTTCAGGTAGCCTGGCTGATGCCTCCACAACTGGCAATCGAGCTACAGACTAACTGATGGCTGCTACAGAAGTTCCTGTTGCTGTGACAAGAGTAGGTCCATGAATAATTGTTCAGAGAGAAATTATGTTGTTATTTTTTTTTCCCCTCTCACAAGTGCCTCTGGGGTTAAATAATAACCCAAGTGTCAAAGTTATGTTTCACTCGAATGACCCACAGATTGCTCAATCTAATTTTCACACTGCTGGCTTCCCCTTCAGGCAGTAGCAGAGAAACAGCAAACCCTCAGAAGGCAGTTACAGTAATTAGACACCAACCCCCATCCTTGGTGAATTTGGGTGTTCAATTTGCAGGTCATCAGTCATAGAGGCAGCAAGCTACAAGCCTGCAGGCTGAATGGCAGAACCTCAGTATTTTCCTCTGCAGCACAGGGACTGAAGGATGCACAGCATTCATCCTCAAAAAGCCTTTGCTGGGCTATGTTTGGCACTCAGAGCAAATGGCAGCCTTCTTCACAAGGCAGTTTAGAGCAGCAGAATGGTGGACTGAGATACAGGGGAGCTTTCAAGTCCATTCCATTATCTCTGGGGTGGTATCTACACCTGAAGGGTTTTCTAGAGGCCAGGACTCATGTTGACCTTTCCTTCCCAAATACCTCTATGCTGATTTAGTTGCCTCAGTCACAGGGCAGCACAATCCAGCTCAGGCCCCTGAGGACTGCACTCTTCCTCTGCATGCAGATTCTGACTTAACACAAACCATCTGTGAGATGAATAACACAAAACTCTGAGAACCAGGGCTGCTATTTCCAAACTCTCCTGCTCACTTAGCAAAGGTGCCTCTACTTTCCTGGTGATTTTCATGACTTTTGCAGAAACTCAGCCCTTCTAAGAAATTGATTAAATGTGATAAAATATCACAGCTAGAAAATATCTTAGCTAGGAGATGCAATCGGCTATTAGCTGGCTGAATTCTGTTACAGACATGGTAACATGAGAACTGAAACTCTCAGATAAATCTGTATGTTGCTTTCAGCATGTTCTGGTTGTCAATACGTTGCTCAGTGGCTCAGTAAGAACAGAACTACCATTGCTAGTAACAGGCCTTATCTAACTGTGCCAGACCTCTGCCCTGGCCTCCTACGCTTGGTATCTATTCATTTGTTATGAGAATGTGCTCTGTTACCAGCCCATACAACAAGGTGTCTCTTATTTTGAGGTACAGTTTAAGCATAGGATATCAGCAAAGGCCTTGGAAATATGTGCACAGTAGAAAGCAGGTCCCAGAACTAAAAACAACTTACTGACTAATAGTCAGTTACTGGTATCAGTAGAAGCTAAACCTTGAAAGCTGGGAAAAGACTGTTCTAAGTAGAATACACTAAACAGTTAAGCATTGAAAAAAACAGCTCAGCAAGAGGATAAGGCACCTGCTGCTGCATGTGATAAAAAGCAGACTACAGCATCACAAGGGTATGTGGTCCATGGGAGAGGGTTCAAAGGCTAAGAACTGTCTCAAAACTCAGAAATTTTCTAAAAGGTCAAGATCTTGGATTTTGTGGAGAGGGATCATCACCATAAGAACTATCATCATGGAATCATGGTGGGATCACCAGAGCTGTGAGCTCTACGGACACCAACTCCCCCTGCTCCTTTCGCCTGTTCTCCCTGCCTGCTCTGAGCATTACTGGGTACAAACTCAGTGCGCCTGGTTATGATTTTGGGCAATAAATGCTTCAAAGGCAATTATGAAACTCTGCATAACCCAGCTTCCAAAATGACAGCTGATACAATATGTGTAATCTCTAGAGGCATTAAAGCACACCTAAATTAAAGTCTAAGAATAGTCTGATCAATGTTAAAACTATTTCCTGGCTATCAGCTGTGATCATCCTCTTACACTGCAGTATTCACTGAAACTCACTTACATGTGGCCTCTTCCACTGTAAATTTGGAGGCAGTTTCTTCAGCAGTGCTCCAGTTCCAATAGAGCTGATGTGAGCAGGGAAGGTGTCATCTGTGAACAGGTGACTGTTCTTCAAGCAAGTCTCCAGCAAGGCCTGATAGTTCTGCTGAGTGAGAGGGGGGTGTTTCTGAAAGATACTCCTGCCTAAAGGCACAGGTGACTTCTTTCTTTTCAAGCACAGGAGAAAAGGCATGGTGATATCCACAGTAACACCTCAATAATTCTTTTACACTGAGGATTCTGCAGGGATCTCACCCTGCACAGTCCTGCTGGAAGCTCCTGTTTTCTTGGGATGACGTGTGACTTCTCCCAAAGAATTCCTGATAATTAAAATAAGTGTAAAGAGTCAATTTAAACATGTCTTTTATAGTTTTCTCTTTAGCCAGCAGGGAGAAGGAGGGGGATGGCCCTCCCTGGAGAAGTGGGGACCCATCTGATCCTAATCTAGCACCTATCACTCCATTTTCAGGGATTTACATTCACTGTAGATCTGAATGAAATCAAAATGAGTGACCCCATTGACTTTTAATGAGGCTTTGAAGCCATACACATAGTTATTCTCAGTCTCCCTGGACTATTTTAGGCTTTCCAGGATATTTTCATAACCCACTGCAACATGAATGACAGTTTTTATTCAATCACATTCTGGCATGTGGTTATTTCCCCTTCCCAAAAAGGAAGAAAAATAACACATATACCAAAGGCTAACAGAAAAATGGAATATATTAGGTGTTACAAAGCCATTACTCACACCCCTCCAAAGGTTATTTTGCCCTTTTTGCCTCATTTTGAAGAATGATACGATCTCTCCCAGGAGATCACATTCCATCTTGCTGATTACCACAGATTCACATGCTGAGGTAATTTTTTTTCTTGTAACATTCTAGATAGCTGTTTCTCATCCCCCCACTGAAAATACCACAGTGATTTCATTGTCCTTTTTTAATGTTAGCAGCTATGCTAAACATTTAAGGAACTTTTCAACCTGAACCATTCTATGATTCTCCAGGGCTTTGAGTAACCTGCTGTAAGGGAAGGTGTACCTGCATGTGGCAGGGGGCTGGAATTAGATGGTCTTTAAGTCCCTTCCAATCCAACCTATTCAGTGATCCTGTGATCACCTTCTGCTGCAAGTGGTGGGCTCCTGAGAGAAATGTTGATTAAACTCTCAGGAGACAAATCACACCCGTCAGTGGCAAGAAGGTGATCATAATCACAGCCTTCTCATTACAGTGTGGGCTGAAAACTGAATTGGGCTACAAAGTTCAATAAACAGTTCACACGCCATAATGATACAGCATTTGGAAAGCTTTCTTGCAGAGGAATCATTGCCCCAGGCACCTTAGGAAACTGGTCTCAATTAGGAATCAGTTGATTGCTACTCCCATCAAAGTCGAAGGTCACTGGTGTTCCCTGTGAAAAAACAACCACAGATTGTGCCATCCTTCCTGCACAGAGCCCTCATTTGTTATAAAATCACTCTACAACTGATCCACAAGGCATGATCCTCAAGGGCAACCAAGGAAAAATCTTCAAAATATAACCCTGGCAACAAAAATTCCATTTTTCTGTTGTACAGTAAACATTTCAGACTTGAAAAAGGATTTAAATGCCTAACAACTTGCCTGCTTGTTGTTTTGTTTTTGTCTTTTTTTGCAGATGAAAAATGCTGTCTCTCCCTCCAAACCTCACCTTTCACAGCCATTGACTTTCACAGCCATTGACTTTCACGGCTACAACAACAGGAGCAACAGACAGAGAGATAGATTTAAGAGAAAAACAAGAGGAAGGAAACAGCCTGATGACTGACTGCACTTTATATAGACAGACAAAATACGTATGAAGAAGAATTTCTCATTTTGCTGCTCCCCAGGAAAAACACTGATGAGCAACTGATAAACTTTGAGCTACACTGAAGAGGAAATACTCGAGACTTGCTTTTAGGGTGTGCAGAGTATTTATGCCTGATAAAATTATTGCAACCCTTCACCAGTTCTCACCTCATTCTGGCATTTATTTGAAAAAGAGCTAAACTTTATAGATAGGCCTTGAAACCCAGAGATAGTCTGAAAAAACCAACCAAACAATGCTTTCAAAAATTGAGGTTTAAATCACCTGAATATGAGCCTTATTTTAAAGAAACTAAGCCAGCAGCCTCAGTCTGTGTTGAGAGTCAATGATGCAGCTATTTTATAGGGTTTGAAAACCTCCCAGCTGAACCTACCTGTAGGTGTATTGTTTTAAACACTTTTCCAAACTACCTGGAAATCTCTGAACAAAACATGTAATGAAGCATTTTATGTGTCACGAACAGTCACTCATTAGACAGCTACAATGTGTTCCACCTCATGTTTCGACCTTCTTTTGCCTGCTGGCTGGCTGCAGTCATGTGTATGGGTAGGTGCCAGATGCAGTTGCATAGAGCTAGCCAAGGTATACCTGGAAATCACTTGTACTCCACCCAACCCTGTCACCAAACCAGACTGAATGGGAATGTCCCACTGTGTCCTCCGGCACAGGTGGAGCAGAGTATGTGCAGGTCTCTTCCTTCAAGTAAAATTTCTAAGGGAAAGCAGCCAAGTGTAGCAGACAGAGGTTAAAAGCTTTAGATGGAAGCCATGAACCAGTAGGTTGGATGGATTTGATTCTCTACTCACCGCACATTCCCCTTGTTAGTAGCAACCTAAATCATTCCACTGCATTAGCATCCTACAATTTCTTCTATATCTTTCTCACATCTTAAACACCTTGTCCCTAAGTCTTAAAATGAGTATCTGAAGAATTCACAGAAAATCCTTCACTTTTAGTAAAAGTAATTGGACCATGAAAGAATTCTGTGAGAGCCCCTTACTCTCATCTCCTCTGATTTAATAAATACTATCTAGCTGCACTGAGGAGCTGCTCCTGATTGTGTGGAACAGAATAAATGTCTGCATGCAAAATAAATTTTTGTGTGAGCAGAGCAAACAATGCAGGGCCATCTTTTACAACTGTTCTTGTAATACAGCAGAACATTAGCTACAGAAATCAGTAGTCATTAGTCAAAATGGAAACGTACTGTATTAGGCTTTGTTAATGTTTATTAGTCTCTAAACACAGTATAAAAAGAGCACTTGCAGGTACAACCTCAAGTCTTTGATTCAATGTAGTGGTGTATTTCACAAATAAAAACTCAAAGCTGACTCCCATTCTTCCTATGGGCTTTTTAGTAAATAAAAATATCCTGAAAAGAAGCACTGAACTGTGTTTTCTCACAAAATAAGTGAACATAGCAACAAGTGGAGGACCTTGCTCTGAATTCCCAGTGCTTAGATTATTGTCCCAAATGTTGATAAACACCTGGTGCTGAGATTTTCAAGGCTGAGCAGTGAATCTGCCCCAGAGCCTCCCAATGATATTAACAAAAAGCCTGTAGCAAAAATGCCTGGATGGCTTTCAGAACCTCAAACAATGTCTCCCTGAACAAATATTCACTTTTAAAGACTCTGACTGAGAGTTTAAAATACATATTCTTTGCTGCGTAAATTACCCAAGCCACATTGAAATCAGTGGCAATATGAGAATCCCATCAAGATCTATCCTTCAGCACTTAAGGTTACACATCCTATTCATAATCATCATCATTAGAGATTCTGACTGCCCACAACTCCCATTTAATTCAGGTGAAGCTTTTGATCTCTGCGGAATATTTTCTGATCATGTATCAGCTAAGCAACCCCTAAACAGCAGAACTGAGAGAACAAGGGTGCACAAACTGTGGCTTGGCTCTGGAGCTGTGACGTGAGCAGCTGGTGCAGCTTGTCTAGTTGCTTTATATCCCACCCATTCTTCTCACATTTGCTAATAGGAACTTTTTGCCGTTCTCTACAACTTCCAGAGAAAAGAACAGCAGCAGCTGTACATTAAGCACTGCCAACAGCGTTGTGTAACTAATACACCCATCTGACCCTAGAGGACAACTTCAACTCAGCATCCTGTCGACATGACAGAGTTATACTCCTTTCAACCCCCTGCAAAATCCTAAATCTGTGCTACCACAGGCAACTGCTGAATGCCAGCACCAAATCCCTCCTCATAGCACTTGGCATTTGAGGTCCTACCTTTTCCAGGGGTGTCTTCAAGCGAAGGATAATTGTTCCACTGGAAGTGATGCCTGCATCTTTTAGATGGTGTATGTTATCTCTACCTATGTGTGGATTTATGTGCACATGTACATGCCCATATATATATGTCTTGCCTACGTAATCCCGAGAGCTAATGCTAGCCTATCAAGCACTGGGGTAGAAGCAGGAGGTGGGTTAAAAAAGCATATTGAGTAATGCCAGAAAATTTCTGATGAGCCCAATGCAAAATATTCCACAGAAGACACAAAAGAACAGGTCAGCCTATCATGCAGACTACTGTTTGACTCACCTATCGCTTCAACGGACAGCAGCTTCCTTGTTTAATTAGCCATTTGGTTAGTCAAAGTACAAAACTCCAGGTCTCTCCAAATATCACCAACAAGGAAGATGCATTCAATCATGTCTTAATATGTTTTAACAAGGTTTCTGTTTTCAGGTAAGACAAAACACAGAAAGGAAATACCCTCAAAACTCTCACATTTTCGCAGACCAGATGGGGCCATGACAGTCTCTCAACTTTGTCAATAACTAAATCATAATGATTTCTAAAAGAAACATTTATGTGAGTTTGAGGGAAGTATAAATCCTGTGACAGAAACAGTCAAAACCATCCAAGAGTTATATGAGAAACCCCCAGGCTTCTGCATCACAAGGATGACAAAAGGCTCAAGAGGATTTTTCTTTTCAGCACCATTAAAGACATTGCATGGCTCATGTACCCTATGTGCAATACAACATGTTTTATTTGCCGTACAAATTTAAGGAAAGAGCTCTCTGGAGGCAAGCATGCTTCCCCCTCATTATATATACATTAGCCAATCCCACATTCTCTGTTTGTAGTGGCATTTCTGGGTCCCAGAACCTTGTACCACCCCAGGCAATGAGGAGATAAAAGCAGCATGGAGAGGGTAGGGGGGAGGACAGCATGTGCATGCTAAGCCACAGGAGAGCAATGGTAGAAGAAACATAATGGGAAATATTTCAGAGGAATATGAAGAAGCAGTAAGGGCAAGAGAGCAATGCAGCATCTTTCTGAGTGGTAAACACACAGCAATTAGTGAGGAAAAGCACAGACTACGCTGGAGACACTTGTTCCTAAGCCACGTGTCAACAGCAGGCAGTACAGAAGTTTAATCTAGCTGAACCAGAGGAAACTGTCCTTCCCTTACTCATCAAATTAGTGTATTTGGTTAAATTATGGGGACCCACTGCACCTTCCTCTCCCCTCACCCCTTTTGCACAACCTGACTATTCTCTATTGAATCCATTGTTACCTGAACTTTTGACACTGCTCAGGTTTCTTACTTGGTAATGAACAAACAGTGACAGTAACTGCACAGGCAGGAAGTTAATTTTACTGAACTACATTGTTCCTACAAGTTTCTTCACACTGTCAAAGTGTTACAATACTGAGTCACCACCTCTTTTCCAGCTCAGTAGCTTGCTAATGTCCCCATCCTCAGCTGACCTCGTGTAGGAAGTAAACCTGACCAACCTAAGGCAGGAGGTAAGCAAACACACACACGTCACCATGACTTGATGTCACATGAAATGAGTTTCAGTTATACAACATTGTGTTTCACCCCTCAAAATTAGGTTTCTTTTTGAGTGCAAATACTATGTGACTTGATCCATTCCCATTCACTTCCAGCAAAGTGGAAGTGAATCTTCTCCAGCAAAGTCTCTTTCTCCTGTGAAGGCAAGCATCCAGCTGAGTGACTGG